CCCCCCACCCCCCCCCCCCAATTTATTTTTTTCCCTTTCCTAAAACCAAAATAATAAAAAAAAAACCTATAATTCCTTTTACCCCCAAACCAAACAAAAAAACCCTATTTCTTAATTTCTTCTACCTATAATATATTGATATTCATTCACCTGTAGAATATAAAAAACTAAAACCTAAATCCCATTTGCCCCAACCCTTAGAAAAAAGGACTAACTAGTAATAATAGATCAATAAGTCCATTCCTGAGGCAAATGGATCTCATGGTTGTTCTTCACCACTTGTGGCTGTGGCTTTGGATTGTTGCGCTTCTGATGAGAAACACCATGATAATTATTATTATTATTATTGCTCCGAGCCCTTGGAACTGCTGATCCTGCACATGATGACCAATAAATCAGAAACCCCAAAATTAAAAATTAAAAAAAAATAACAAAAAAAATTGGCACATTCAGTTTACCATTGAAACGAGGATTCTGCTGGTGGTGGTGTTGCTGTTGTTGCAAGTGGCCATTCATCACACCCTCCAGATTCAGATTCAACGCCTGCGCCACTCTATCTGGCACCAGCACGGTTTTACACCCTGCAATACACACCAAAACCCCAAAAGTCAATAATCACATTAACGAATAAATTAATCAAATTAACAAAATAATTTGAACTTTTCTCACTTCACTCACCAGGCTTCTTCCGAGATTCGGTGCGAGTCTCGACAGAGCGAGGCAGAAACACGCCGGTGCCGGCGCTCTCTCTGTTTCCGGCGAGAAAAACAGCTCTCATGCCAGACCCGTTCTGCATAGGAGGAGGCCATGCAGAACCAGACAAGCCCCTCACGTTGTTGTTGTTGTTGTTGTTCCTTCCTCTGTTTAGGACCATTTGTCTCTGTTGCTGTTGCTGTTGCTGCCTCATCATCTCAAACTAAAAAGTAAAACACAAACAAATAAATAAATAAAACAAAAACGCAAAGCCAAAGCCAAAGCCAAAGGCGAGAAATACGGCGTCGTTTTCACTCACTTGCGCAATCTGCAACTGCTGCTGAGAAAACGACTGTTGCTGATTCTGGTGAGGCTGAGAGTAAAACCCCACCCCAACGCCAGCAGCGTTAACGCCACCGCACGCCTTCACCGCGTCATTACGGACAAAACCGTAATCGCAATCGTAACCGTAACCGTGAAGGTAACGGTAACGGTAACGGTCGTCGCCGAGGCGCATCCTCTCGACTTCCCCTGCAGCCGCGCGCAGCAGATCCCACGTGGCACTCTCCTGCGAAACGACGCCGTCCGGACTGGACCCCTTCCCGCTGCTCCCGAACGCGCTTAAAGTAGACTGCGGCGAGCCACCGCCCCCAAACACGCCCTTCAAAAATAATCAAACATTTTGTCTCTAGTTATTACTCGAAAGAAAACAAGCGCTGAGTTAAACTTTTTTGTCGTTTAGTTACCTTGGGGTTCTCAGAGGCCAGAGTGGACCGCGCGAGTTGGCGAGTCAACTCGGCGAGGTGCTCCTCCTCGTCGCTCTCGGTCTCGCTGGAGGAGCTGAAGTAGGGAACGAGAGTCCTTGAAACGGCGTCGGTTTTGGCGGTTGCCTCAAACGACGCGTCGTCGAAGTCGGTGAGGAACTGAGGCGGAAGCCAAAACTCACCGTCGTCTAAATTCTCAGCCATTTGAGAAAAGAGAGGGAAAATAGGATTACGATGGATCTGAGAATGAGTAGTGAGTAAATGAGTAATGAGTAATGTAATGCATCGAACAGAGCCTTCCCTTAAGTACACTCTGTCTCGGAACACAGGGAAACGGTTTTAGTGTTTTTTTTTTAATTAAAAAATTGAGGGAGAAAAAAAAAAAAAAAGCGGTGCTTTTCGCGTCACGCGCCCGCGCGTGGGGTGAGGGTGGGTCCACGCGCCTTCCGTGGAGAGAAAAAAGTGGGGCATTGGGTAATGGGTTATGGTCTTTCCATTTTCTAACTTGTACCGTTTTTGGTTTCGCTTCATGCTTCCTCGGTTTCGCTCCTTTCGTAGCACCAAACACGTGAGAGCGGTTTTCGATTCTCAAACAATATTTGTACTAAATCTAAATCATTTTTTAGATAGGAAAAATAATAATTAATATGGGATTTTCAGAAACTGAGTTTTGACATGCCAGAGATTTGTACTCTTGTAGACAGAAATTTTGAAAATAAATATTGGAATTTAAGTTGAGGGAATTAATTTTATTTTTAAAGTAGGATATTTTGTTTGAAAGGGAAAATGAATAACTAATTTAATTAGAATATGTTAAAAATAAAAAAAGTAAATTATTGTTTAATACAATAAGGCTAAACCTCCCGGCGGAGAAGATTTATGGAAGGATTTCTAAGAAGATATATCATTATTTCGTTTAAGAATGAATTGTTATATATTAATTTTTTTTATAATAATTACTTTAAATGTTGTGTCTAAAATAGTGTTTAATTAATTTAAATTTCTATACTTATAATGTATCTAAATTAAATTTATAAGTAATTATAATTTTTGATGAAAATTAAGAACTATGTTTATGATGAAATCTGTAAAGTTTTTGAAATTTATTTATTAATTTTTACTTAAATGATTATCATTTTTTAATTTATTTTAATTTTCTTTGATTTAGATGAATGCAAATGAAACTTGCATCCATTCTAGCTAATCATGATTTTCTAGGAAAAAATATTAATGGTTACTACTAGTTAATAAAATAAATAATTTTTACTTTTTAAATTGAAAAAAAAAATATACATTAATAGAATAAACATTTTACACCGTGATTTAGTCACAAACCATTATATATAGTAAGTTTGTTAATTTTGATAATGTTAGTTTAAAAGTCACATAAAAATTGTTTTTAAGTGATTGTGATTTATATTTATTAAAGTCATTCAAATTTTTAATTTTTATTTTAATTAATATTATTATTATTATTATTATTATTATTATGTATATAATAGAGATATATCATTAGATGTGAAACTAGGTTAGACCAAAACTAGGTTTTGCTAGGTTTAGTTCTAGACTTGGTTGAGAATACATGACATGAACTTTATTTATTTATCTGAGATAAGCTTTTTCTTAAAGGTCTAGATTGACCTACATAAATTTTTTACTTAATTTATAAACTTGTTTAATGATTTACTTTGTAATAATTTATCACCAAAATTAAAGTAAAAATAAATATGATAGATTTTATAAAAGTTGAATAATTTTTTTACAATATATATATATATATATATATATATATAAAGCATATTTTTTAAGTTTAATGATTAATATAAGATTTACGATAATAATTTGTTTAAAAATATATTTTGTATTGAGATCTTTATAAGAATATAAATTTATCTTTCATTAAACTTATAAGTTTTACTGTTTATATAAATCAACATTTTTGTATACATCAAAAATAAAGGAAAAACAAAAGAAACATAAAAAATCAACATGTTTAAAATTTTAAAAAGATAAATAAAAATATGTGATTTTAATACATTAAAAAAAATATGATATAATAATAATAATAAATATTTTTTAAAACAGGTCACAAATTATGTCTAATAAGCTTTTTAAATGCCTATAGTGTGACTTTTTAATTAAATAAACTTTAATAAGATTTTTGACTTAGTTAAAAAGATGAGGCTTTAGTCTTAAAAAAAACCTAATAGGATCGATAGAGCAACTTGTTTAAAATATAAAAAAAATACTAATATAATGTGTTTTAAAAATAAAATAAATAATAAAAATAATTGAAGTTAAATATATGTGAATGGTTAATAATTATAAGGAGTGAGAAGTTTGAAAAATAAATTTACTGAAAAGTATAGAAAAAATTGAATAAAAATTAAATAAAAAAATATGGAAGAAAAAGAGTATTTTAAAAATCAAATAACAAAACAATTAATAGAATATGTACATTAAAAGACATTATCTTTTTTAACAGTGTAAATATTTTTATATGTTAATTTATAATAATTAATTTTTTATTTAATATATATAGTTATTATTATAAATAATATATTAAATACTTGTTCTTATTAGCCTATTTAGACCTATAGGTCTAATTGCTTAATTATATGCCTTTCATAAAATTTATTATATTAAAAAGTTTTTAGAAGTACGAGGACTTAAGATCAATTTTCATTGCGATTATCTTTGTAATTTTTTATTATTTTTACTATAAAAAAAAACTTTTAGACTGGATAATATTTTAAACATGTCTAGTCTTAAAATAATATCTTTAATGAGTAAATAAGTCATAGTCAAACTTAATAATTTTGTTGATTAAATTTTGCCCCGTCAAAACTTGGTCTTGAATGGGTTATTTTCAAGAGTTAATCACCTATACACTGTCAGTGTAAAGTTTTTTTATACTGGCAACCAATCATATCTTTTAAATTATTTTATTATTTTTACTTCATTAAATAAGCAATTGACACGATACTATTAAAAGATATGATTGGTTGACAGTGCAAAAAAATTTTACACTGACAGGGTATAGGTGATTAACTCTATTTTCAATCCTTTTAGGAATGGTAAAAGAATACGTATATGCAAATAAAATTTATCATAATTAATAAATGGATTGCTAAAGTGAATACTCATATGTAACATATACAAATATTTTTTTACCCATTTATAAATGGGATGGAGACATGTATGGTAGTATACATATCAACCCGCAATGATGTATCTAGGAATTTTAGGTGGTAGAACAATACTTATACACAAAATAAATATTTCTAATAACAAACATATAATTTAATAATTTTTAGAATATAAATATACATTACAATTTTTTCTACAGGATTTATATTCTAAATATATTGAATGTTTTTCTCATTTTCAACACCTTCAAAAATTATTTTTCTCTATCTCTCTCTCTATATATATATATATATGTATATTTGCTAATTTACATTCACTTATTCTTTTTAGAAAAAATAAGTTAGTAAGTTAAATTCAGATGTATTTTTTTTTAAATAAAGATCAAAAAATAATATATTAATTTTGAATTTTTTCAAACATAAAAAAACAATAATGACACTTAAATTTTAACATAATAAATGAGTATTTTTATATAATGTATAAAAAAGTCAACATAAAAAACTTAGTGAGGACATTTGTCCTTACAATCGACAAGGTACATCCCTCACAGCTAGGGATGGCAAACGGCGGGTCGGGTACGGGTTTCATGATACCCGTTCCCGTCCCCGTGAGTCAAACTCATCTCCGTCCCCGTACCCGTACCCGTACCCATCGGGTATGTGATTTTCATCCCCATCCTTGTCCCCGTCGAGTATCGGGTATACCCGTACCCGTCAATTTTTTTATTTTTTATTTTTTGTAAAAAAAATGATATTTTTAAATTATTTTTTTATTATATTATAATTGTAATTAGGTTATTTCTCTATCTCATATTATAATAAATAATCACACATAAAAAATCAAAATTTTTTAATATAATTAAATTGAAAGTGGATATTAAATTAAAAATGAAAACGAGGACGGGTACAGGTACGGGTACGAGGCGGGTAAGTTCATACCCGTACCCGTACCCGTACCCGATTTAATATATCGGGTTTTACCTGTACCCGTACCCGTACACGATCAAACCGGGTATTCCCCGTCAAAGTCGGGACGGGTTCGGGTATTACCCGCGGGCACGGGTATATTTGTCATCCCTACTCACAGTTGACAAGTACTTGTTAAATGAAACTACTTAAATATCCAATTATTTATTTTGTATTTTTATATTATTTTTAATATTATAAAAAAATTAATGACAAATGCAAGTAAAAAATTAATATCAATCATTTATCTTTAATATTTCAATAAAATCAACACCAAATATAGGCTTAAATTTATTTGTATTATTTATATAAAAAAATTAAAATCACAAATATCATAATTTTTCAGGGATATTATTTGTGATTGAATGATATTTTAAAATAGACTTAAACATATTTTTAGTCTATTAAATTTAGGATAAATTTATTTATGATCTTTCAATTTTAAAATTGTTATTTTTAATCTCTGTAATTTTTAAAAATTTGTTTTAATTTCTCATGTCACTAATAATATATATAAAAGTAATGGATCGAGACAATTATACATCATTAATTGGGTTTAATATTATGTTTTCACTAATAGAAACACCAATAGATAAATTTTATATAATAATATTTGATAAATTTTTAACAAAATTTGAGTATAAGAACTAAAACAAGATTTATTAAAATTACATAAATTAAAAAGATTAATTTTAAATTTAAAAGACTAAAAATAATTTTGTCTTAAATTTAATTAATTAAAAACACATTTAACCCCTTTAAATTATTTTATACCTGACCTATTTTAATTTAAAAAAAAACATAGTAAGAACTAATTTTGAATGTTTACTATTTACTTAATGATGTTGATGCCTTCTGTTAATTTGACAGTAAGGTATGTGACATCCTCTACCCCGCATACATAATTTTACAATAAATAGAGATAAATAAAATTCTTCATAAATAAATCTGTAACATTGTAAAAAAAAAATAAAAAAAAAAAGCTGATTCAGTAGCCCAGAACGGGCCGTTCAGCTTGCACAGCCTCAGTCAGTTCTGTATTTCTCCTTCCTGTCATCTGAAATTTTTATAGATTAGTTTATTATACTAGAAACATGGTTAGCACATTTCCCCAAGTTACACATAGAACGTTGCTCTGATACCATTAAAATGTAACGTCTAGTCCTATTAATATTAATC